TGCCGAAGCGTCTGACCCACTCCGTGGCACACCCTACTCGACCGGTATTTAAATAGTCAGCGAACAAAATGAATGATGCCTAGTCAAAGGACCGACTTGTCGTGACGTGCAGATACTGAGTATGTTATATCAAAGTCATGCGGTGTCATAATTTCAGAGTCTACGCATCACTATTCGAAGTAACCAGTCTGGCGAGCTGGGTAGCTGTACATACATCGTCGGGTGGCCCCCTCCCCTCCAGGACCCCGTAACGTCACTGATAGAGACCGTCTCGGCGCGCTGGTTGCGTCAGTGGGTGCAGTAATGAATGGTATATGTGCTCGTATGTGCTGAGGTTGTCGTATGGTTCGCTACGACAGAAGTGATTTGATCCGATACGCCCCTAGGCTGCATCCCCGAGGGAGGGAGCTAGCGGCATCCCCGCCCGTGGCACCGGCTATACCAGTGACCTGTTACTGCAGTTCCCCAGTCCTGACATAGGTCATGCAGTGACCTACCCCTGTAGTGACCTGTCCCTGTCCAGTGACATCTCGTCGGCCGGCGCTATAGCTGAGGAGAACGAACTCCAGTCTTCTGTAGGACGAATGCAAATTACAAATGCAGCGTACGGCAGGGTAGCGGAGCTATAGTGCCTCCAAATGGACGCTATGCTAAAAGCCATATCGACAGAGAGCTTGCAATGAAATTAAAAGGATATGGAGGACCGACTTGAAAGACATGCTTTTTACCGAGATGCATTCGGTCCAGCCAAGCCGCCGAGTTGTAAAATACGAATATCTGGCGGAATCGCATCATTTTACATAATTTGGATGCCATTTGTACATAATGACCATTATCGTCCTCACGGTTAGGCTCCCCAAAAGGCATTTGACTGACGTAGGTCGTACTCGTAGTTATACCTGTGATGCAAGTCCGACAACAGCTCGCACTTTACGAGTACGACTCAGGTCGGTGGCTTGACTGGACCAAATGCATCAAGGTAAAAGTGCTTGTGTTTTCAGTCATCAAGATCCTGTTGGATCACTGCGCTTTTGCTGCCGCTATGATTTGATCACATATTCTAGACCCTCTTTCGGCAAGTTCGCACTCAAGCTCCATTTCATGCATGAAAGTATGATCATCAATCACCAGCACCAGAGCCAGCGCCCCGTTGGGGTCTGCCGAGCAACGCGCCCTGTTGGGGGAGGGGGGGGGGGAATTTGCCCCCCCCCCTAAGATCTCAAGAACCACGCAACATAGCGACAAGCAGCAAACGGCGTTGGATAGCCCCAACAGGAAACTACATTGAGACCCAATTTCATTGGTCAAACCGATGACGTCACAGGTCAGGTCAAATGTCGATTTTTCACCGTTTACAGGCATTTCAAGAAATGCGTTGTAAAATTGAGTAAAATGCATTTCATTGAGAATCATCGATGGGAAATTGTTAGTCAAACACATATTTTGCTATTTGAGGTCACTGATACCAGGTCAGGTCACAGAGGTCAGGTCACTGAGGGTTACAATATGAAAATATCATGTGATGCATGTTTTATGGTCCATTTTATATGCTAAATGCGATTATGTGGGTCAGGCAGCCTTTGGGGTCAGTTTAGATTATGTTATGGAGAAGGTCAGATCAAGGTCAGGTCAAGGTCAGGTCAAATTAGGTCAACTTTCAAAGTTGATATTTTTGCATAAAAATGGGTATCGATTCGATGCAACTCATCACGAGGAACTCAATAGTGGTCTTTGTTTTGCGCTACGTGCTCTAGAACTGCCAAAAATTGAGTTAAAAAATTTGACGTCATCAATTTTGAACAGTTTTTTTTCGCTATAACTTGGCTAAAAAAGATGTATCGACCTAAAAATTGGTATGTAGATAGAAGAGCGCAGGGACTATCACATATATTCCGTTTTTCGAAATTCAAAAACTTGTGTTTTTAGCGTTTCTTCTAAAAAAAATCATTTTTTAATTTTTGGGGGTCAAAATCGAAAATTTTTGAAAATCCCAGATAGCAGTTTTGTAGCGCCATCTATTCTCTATATGACCATATAATGAACTTTGAAAATTGCTTAGTAACTGAAGCTTTTGTGAGCGTTTCAATGTTTTATTTTTTTGCTCATTTATGCTCGAATATGACCTCAGCTTGACCTCAATAACTCCTGACCTAAGGTGACCTAAGACTTATTATTTTGTGTGGAGGTGCCAAATTGATGCCCGGTAAGGTACTGAAAATTTGGCGGCGCGCAGCGCCGCCGTTTTCTTGCTATTCAGGAAAAACCACGGGGGGGGGGGTCAAATTGCCCCCGTGGGGCGACGGTTAAATCACAAATCCGATACGGCAATGCAGAATGATTTTGACCAATTCCTTTCCTATTCCCCAACATCCATAACGATTTCTCGACGGTGTCGTAAACATATTTCCCTCATCTCCTCTGCGTGAGGCATAAGAACTGCAGCTCTGAAGATAATCTACGATCAGTTGACCAAGTTGGGTCAAGCAGCCTTGTCCTCCGAAAAAAGACTCCCGTTACAGCTACTTTGGCTACGTGGTTGAATTATAACTCATGCTTCTTCTTTGGAGCGGTGAGATTCATAAAAAAACTTAGAAAACTGCCGTTTTTATTTGAAAAAAGTTTTCATGCCTTCGGTAACATTATTGATCGCAATAGCCAATAAATGACATCAAACGTTTTTATTTTGACCGTTTTCCTCCGAACGTTTTTTGCCTTTTTCAATGTCCGTGATACTGGCTTCCAAATGGGTTCTATCGATTCTCAACAATAGCGAGAATTTTCCCAGGAAACTCTGAAGGCACTTACTCTGTAAATTTTGCAATTATAAAAGCTTAATATTTTTCTTACTAAAAGTGGACACAAACGGCTCTAAAATAAACGTATTAACAGCCACCACTGCAATCGTGCAGCTGAGCTTCTGGCCGGAACCTAAGTAGGAATGTAGTCTAGTAGGTCTCATGCCTAATTCAGTGTCTCATCACACCTGAGCAGCGAACAGACATCTCGATTCTCGGAACCCCTGCAGGAAGCGTGCTAACGTGCCATTCGCAACATATGGATGAGAGTAGGTGAGATGAGTCTGCTTAATGACTTCCCAAGTAGGCATGAGTCATTCACAATGACTCGCCGTGTGAAATACAACGGCCGTTAATGTTTCGGCACCGCTGCTATGTATGTGCTCTGAACCAGCGGTAACGACTCGCTGACGTTGCAGAGGTGCCCTGCCGCCGCTGCCGGGGTAGTCCGGAGGACTGAGGCCGGGCCGGACGGGTCGGTCGGGCGCGGCGGCCTTGTGCCCCTCTGGTCGCGTGGCTAGCAAGGCCAGGGGAGCCGGCGGCCGGCGCGCTCATAGGGGCGATGCGGGTGCCGGCGGCGCCGCCGTCTCGCCGCTGACGGCCGGTTGCGCCGGCATACGGGTACACTGCGTCACAGGGGCGAGACAACCGACCGGGCGGCCCCCAGCGCCCCCACAGAGCGCTGAGTAGCGAGCTGTGACCTCCAGCACAGCGGGAGCTGCACCTGAGCAGCGAGCTATAGCGGAGAGCACCTAATTCAATTGAGAAAATCGAATGCACCTGCCTTACTCCAGCAGTATTCCGCACTACATGCTCTCTGCTGTCGTTAGAAGTGGTGCTGGCCAGTGGCCACCCAGATGTGTGCAGTGTCATAAATATCAGCGAGGATCGGACCCGGCGCTACCCCAACAGGTCCGCCGCAGCGTCCTGTCCCATCTGACCCTGCATGTCGCCAGTGTGGCTGGCGTGGGCGCTTCAGAAGAGTGCCGTCACCGGCGTCCTCAGACCTGCCGAGAGACAAGTTTGTGATCTGCATATACAGCACGACAGGCCAGTCCGCCGCCAGTTGCAGCGAGAGTGATTCGAAACCATCTCTGCATAGGGAATCAGAATCAACAAGCCACTATACATGGTATTATTGTTATGTTTATTTACATATAGTTACCGACAACATACATAGATTCAAAACTAAAAATGCAAATGTGGCGTTGCAATGCCATGACCATTTCAAAAGTGATGCATTATCGCACTCCGCCGATTGTTTGTTTGTCCAAAGAGAGACCTCAGTCCAACCGTAACCCGTTTGGTGAGAAGCTATTTTACATGGCACTACCTTCGGCTTCAGAGCCAAAGCCGCGTACAAGGGGATAAAGTCAGGTAAACGGGATAAGCGGCTGATACCAAAGGATCTGTTGCCACGAATCTGGTCTAAACATGACATGCTGAAGGGAAAATTGTCTAAATGTCACACTAAGCTTTGCTCCTTTTACTTCATGGCTGTTCGGTGTCGAAGGGAATATTCACGTTCCATTCACCGATTGCATGCTTTATTGCTCCGTCACTCACCAAAAGGCTTTCCCCCTCGCACACGACTCTCCCTGTCCCAAGCGCCGGCAGGAACTTTATAAATCACATGGTTTACCTGACACGCTGCCTCGATTTGAAAACCCGGGACCCGGCTCTACCGTCCGCAGTCCCATAGGCCGCACTCCACATTCAAACTCCCCTCCTACTCTCCCTCCTCTCTCTCTCTCTCTCTCTCTCTCTCTCTCTCTCTCTCTCTCTCTCTCTCTCTCTCTCTCTCTCTCCCTCTCGCTCCGCTCCGCTCATCCCTGTCCCAAATTCCGTCTCAGCCTTTGTTTCTCGGTATTCCCATGGCAGCCGCTCATTTTTTGGGTATCTCCACAGTTCCACCTAAGCTCACGTCCCCAATGACCCAGTCTCGTTCTCTTCCTTCGCTTCCACCTTGACCGTGTACTCTCGGAGCTCCATCGACTGTCCCGCCGGCGCGCCGACTGGCCGAGTGGCGCGCGCGGGACCGCGGCTCCCGCCGGCCGCCTCTCCCCTCCCCGCGGCGTCCCGCGTCGCGCGCCACCCCAGCGCGACTCGTGCCGTGGGCCGTGGCGCGCGCCGTGGGGCGGGGCTTCGCGCACTAGGGTACAAGTAGGACCGGCGGCGCGGCGCGCGCCCAGTCGCCCTGCCGCCGCCGTCGCGCGAGCCAGCCGCCGTCGCGTCGCTCCGCGCGTCCTTTTCCGTTGCGTTTTGTTCCGTTTGTCATGTCTGCGATGGGGGTGGTGCCGATCCGGCCGAGTCCGCAGAAGGTGACGACGACCACCTGCGTGCTGCTCACCACGTCACCGGCGCCGGTGACGACGGCTCTGAAGGCGCCGGTGCGCCGCCAGGAGCCGGCCGTCCGGCCCAACCGGCGCCGACTCGGCTACTCGTCGTACATTCCGCCGCCGCAGCCGTCCAACGTGCTGCGCCGCAACGCCCGCGAGAGGAACCGCGTCAAACAGGTCAACCACGGCTTCGCCGCCCTCCGCAACCACATCCCCAGCGCGGCCAAGAACAAGAAGCTGAGCAAGGTGGACACCCTGCGCCGCGCCGTCGAGTACATCCAGAGTCTGCAGGCGCTGCTGGATGAGAGCGACGCTGAGGGAGCGCCGTCAGCGACTCAGAGCCAGCCGTCTTCATGTCAGCCGTCTCCGCACCAGCCGTCTCTTCATCAACCGTCCTCTCTGCAGCCGTCACCGTGTCTTCCCTCCGCTCACCTTCCCTCCCCGTGTCTGCCCTCTCCCTGTCAGCCGTCGCCGCAGACCCTGACTCCCTCCAGCGGCTGCAGCGCCGACAGCGGCTACGGCGAGCAGCGCGGCTTCTTTCTGCCGTCTCCTGCGACCGGCTCGGTGGCCGGCCCGCACCTGGCCTCGCCCTGCTCAGACGCCTCCTCTCCGGCGCCGTCCTACTCGTCGGAGCCGACGCTGCTGACGTCACAGTACGACCAGTACGAGCCGTACACACCGGCCGGCTTCAAGGAGGAGTCGTACGCGGACGCTGAGCCCATTAGCGCAGAAGATGAGGAGCTCCTGGACGCCATCGCCTGGTGGCAGTGCAGCCAATAACCGTCCGAAGCCCGTCCGGCTATCACCGTCCACACGCACAGGTGAGAGAATGACCGAAACGTTTATTTATTTGACTAATTAGCGAGACATTCTTTTACATTTTCGTTAATTGCGTCAGACCCATGTGCCGTTACAACTGTTATTGTTCTTCTTTTTTTTTGCTGCACTTTTTGTATGAAGGGATTGATCGGAATTTTATCAGCACTAACGCCAATTTATCTATATAGTTTGAGGTCTCGGTATGTCAATTTTCAAAGGACATGTTTTTCATCTTCGGTAAACGGACAGCTCATTCAGGCGTTTTTTTTTTCCGGTCGGAATGGGTTTCGGAAGCGCGGTGGCTGTCTGAGAGGCGCGGTGGGTCCGGTGAGGGGCCGTCGGAGCGGGGTCCGCGGCAGATCCTCTGTGTCTGTCTCCCCGACATCCGCTCGGCGGCGGCGCCGCCACCATTACCTGCCGGCCGCGCGGCCAGGAAGCGGCCGCCGCCGCTCCGCGCTTGGCCGCCGCTCCGTAGCGGTGGACGGTGTCGCGGGCGGAAGCCGCCTGTCCCCCGACCTGCCCGCCGAGCTGAGAGGTGGCAGACACCGGCGCCGGACGCCACTTCCACCCGACATTTGCATAACCCAGCACGGCGCCTGCCCCCGGCAGCGGAGCCACCATTCATCATACAGCTCACGGGAAATATATGTAAAACTGGCTCAACTCCGCAAGAAATTCGTTGCCAAATTTACTCGGTGGCTATTCATAACGTTGGAATCGTAAATCTCACCAGAAATACCTGTCCAGCTACCTGCCTCTCTCACGCATTTTTCTCGGTTCCTTCGGTTTTTCTAATCAAGACCTTTTGTCCCCTTTGAGCCGGTGGGTTCCCTTTCATTCGCGTCAGACGGTCGCTGGCTGAAGGGACGGCGAAAATAGTGGGTCGCGCCGACGGGGCGCGCGGTGCCGGCACCCCCTGCCAGTCGTCCTTCTCTCAGCACCCGCTCCTGAAAGCGCGCCTGGGAAACCGACTCTCTTCAAGTTTAAGCTTTTTTTACTGGGTTCCTGTGAATGCAGCCCACGTGGAGCGCGGCCGAGCATTGGGCATTTTTTGTCGTCTGTGTTTTTGCCGTCTTGTCACGACGAGCTGTCAGCGCGCGTTCAGAACTAACGGCGTCTTCTCCGTCTCTGTTCACAGGTGGAGATTCTAGTCAAAGCTGACTGGCCTAGTGCTGCTGAGGCTCACAGTCGCCGCCGCCGTCATCCGCCGTTCGTCATCCGTCATCTGCTGTCCGCCATCAGTCGTCATCACTGCGCCCCCGCCGTCATCGTCGCCTTCAGATGTGCTGCTCGTCAGTGGAGGATGCCGCCAGCGCTACACCGGTGGAAACCGACCAGTCGCCAATCGTCCACGATCGCCCGTCTACGTTCGGCAGACTCCCGGAGGAGAGGTGCCTCTCAGTGCGTCCGGTCGCCGTCAGGCCGTCTGCCAGCGCGTCCGTCGCCGCCGGTTGTACACGAGCCGACTCCAACACCGACACCCGGCGTCCAGATCCCGTAACCTAGCCGGCCCTCGCGTCGGCCGATCGGATCGCGCATTAATTGGACCAGCCTTTCGGGATAAAGGGACACCATCAACATTCATCAATCGTGACGCGCGACCACCCAAAAAAACTCGACCGAGACGCGTTTCTCCGGCTCCTGGCAGGTGCCCGCATGACCGCAGAAGCGCATCGGGATAAGGAGTCAGCCCGTTCTAATGATTTGACATGACCTGGCGAGGCAAAGCGACCTGACATGCCGTGACCTGACCTGACCTGAATTGGCCAATGTATGGCTTATAATTGTGATGCAGTGTCTTGATGCCCAGTGCCTTGCTTGTTTGTGCCAGCTGCTCAATATTCATATCAGTCTGTGTTCGGCCGTGATATGATTAAACTGGTAGCATCATCTCTCTGTAGATATGCCTTGTTGGTCAGCTGTTGACAGTTTGCGGGATCTCTATAAGGAGCGTATACCGCTGCATTGTTTGAACTATGTCAGGCACATCGGTGTGTGATTTATCGACCCATGTTTTTTATCACTGTCAACAAAGCCATCGCTATTTTGTATCTTTTTACAGCAATTTGTACATTTTTAGATAATCTTAGTGTAGCTGAAGCATTGTACATAATAAGTGTATGTACAAATTTCATCTGTGACGTTACCCTTATAGCGACAATAAATATGTGACTAAGAACAACATACGAGTATTCTCTGCGGCTGGCATTTTAACAATGAAGTTGTTACGAGCATATGTTCAACATCAGTCGATGGCAAATAAATAAGGCCAATAAATATTGCAATTGCAATCTAATGAAAGGATAATTATACTTTAGTGCGAGACAGACTTAACATACATACGGGTAATACCTACCTACATACCTACTAAGAATCTATGATGTGCTTTAGAATTAGTAAAACATAGAACAAGGGGAAAACAAGGAAAGCAAGGATAAACACCACAATAGGTAAGAAAGGGAACACTGCAACCCTATGAAGTTATACTGTAACACTATGAAGAATTAGAAATCCGCAGTATTCGTACCAGTTTCAGCCGTACGCTTCAGTTGGAGGCTGCAACTCGTGTGACGCAATCTAACAGAAGGCTCTTAGCTTTATCAATGTTTCAATAGTCTCAAGTTTATCACCTCTATAGGAAGCACCCAAGCCAGATGTGAATATTTGCATCGGTGACATTTGTCAACACTCATTGAGCTCCTGTATTTGCAGACACTTTGATCTTTCAGAAATCAAGTGGTTCAAGGAGTTCTAGGAAAGCTAGCAATGGCGACTTACGCTGTTTTCAACGTGTCTTCTATATAGGCTATAATGATGATATGGATAATCGCTCCTCAACCTGGGTTTCGAAATGGCTTAGCAGAGAGATCCGACATCGTTAGCTAAACTTAGCTAATCCGCAACAGATTTGCCTACTGGAGATAACTTGAGATAACTTAACCCTCGCCCATGTAGGGGGGGTTGGTGCAACCCCCCCCTGAGGTTTTTCGGAAATAGTGCAAAAACGGCGGCGCGCAGCGCCGCCAAATTTTGGGTACCTTATGGGGCAAACCTTGCGCATCTTTTGATAAAAAAAATTTGACCGGGTCATGTCAGGTCACGGAGTTATGACGTCACAAAGGGAACAGCCTCCGGCCGGATTTTCACAAACTGAGTGCCAACGCCCGAGGTTTCCTGCCGGTGGTACGGAGATCGGTTGATGGATCGTGATGAAACTTCCCATGCATGTTGGGGCAAGTATTGGCTATCATATGGTATAAGAAACTTGACCGGGTCAGGTCAGGTCACGGAGCTATGACGTCACAAGAGGAACAGCGTCCGGTACTATTTTTGAAAAGCGCCCGAACCACTATTTTGCTAATTCTTGTCACCTCAATGGGAATATGCAGCAATATTAGCTTCTATAGGGAGCAAATGGACCTCCCAAATCCAAAAATACAATCAGATTTCAAAAATTTAAATTTTGATTTTTCGAATTTCTGCCGCCGACTGTGACCTTGCCAACTTCCGGCGCTCCCAACGCGCCATTTTTAGAGCTAGGGAAACGAAATACATACCAAACGATAGAGAATTGATCAAGGAACACGATAGTGAAGGTTTCAAGTCGATATCTCCCACCGTTTTGCCGCAATCGCCGCCGAAAGTTGAAAAAAGTCTATTTTTCCGAAAATTTGACCTTTGACCGGTCAAAAGTAGGTCAAATGTTGACCTAGGACCAAAAAATATACCACCAATCGCGAGATCTCGGCGAGAGCAATCCGTTGGTCTTTTCCGCTAAGCTCTACGACGCTCCGTTTTCAAACGCCAAGGGGGGGTCGCACCAACCCCCCCCTGCATGGGCGAAGGTGGCAGATCGCCGTTTACGGGCGAGGGTTAAGAATATGGCACTGTTTGGAGGTCATGACTTCACCATAATTAGCCCACAAGCTTAACAGGCGACAGTGATAACATATGCGAGTACCATGCAGCATCGTAAGTAAAATCACGCATGCCGAATAAAGTGCGGAGTGGGAACCATGGCGTTTGAAAGGGACTGCACTGTAATACAGACTCAAAATTGCTATATGTTTATCATTACTGTGGGATATAGCACTACTAATTGGGTACCTACCATCGAACTTTTAGGTATATGTGTCGCCAAAAAGTTTATTTTGATAAGTTTTATTATTGAAGAATAACCTCATTTCATTCACCCTATATTTTATCAATTGACCAACAGCTTGCTTTCCCTCCCTTAAAAGATTGTTTCCAAAGGTAACTCACGTCCGAAATATTTTGAAATAAAGCAATAAAATTTCGTTCTTTTTTGTGCACTGCAAACAATGCGTAAAGATATCACTAACACATTATGCGGTATATACTGGGGTAAAGAAAACAACCATAGAGGAAATTCGCAAATGGGAAATTGACAAATGTTCAGTCAAACACCTCTTTAAATTCTATATCGACATTCGACATAGATATAGAGATAATCAGTGACCATTATTTTACAGACTGAAAGCTTTATACGCGTTATAACACACGCCATAGATAACATAGAAAACATAGATTCATGTTATTCTATGCGCACATATTTCTTAACCTTCGCCCCAGTGGGGGGGGGGGGCATATGTTACCACCCTGTCGCGTTTTTCGCGTGTCAATAAACAACTGCGGCGCGTAGCGCCGCGCCGCTTGGGGTAGCTTTTGGTACATCAATTTTGGACAATGTGTGAAATTTTTGACTCCAGGTCATGTCAGGTCAGGTCACCAGGTCAAGTTAACTGACCAAGCCTTAAAAAAAGTTTGCAATCATGTCCAGCCTGCAGTGTTTGTCAGGAAGGTTTTAAACTTGGTGGATTGCATGCTGTTATGGGAGCCTACAATTTGTATATCTCGGATTTTTTATATCCGTGATCTAAGGTCAGGTCAGTGGCATGACATTTCCATTACAAGTCAATGGAGAAAAATGAAAATGCCTCTAGATCCGTGTGTACGCATAGGAACAGTCCAAATATTTCAGAATCACAATAATTTAGTCCACTCGTGATGACCAAGGTGTCATTTTTGCTGATAGCCTCTAGAAAGGTCATCCGAGGTCATTTGAGGCTACAAACAATTTTTTGTCAATAACTCGCGATTGGAAAGAGATAGAACGCTGGGGATGGTCTCATTGTGTTTGTCTTGTTGAGACGCATCGACTGATATGCAACATGACCTTTTCCGGTCAGGTCATGACCTTGACCTGAGGTCAAATTTTTAAGTTGACCTTTCAAGGTCAAATTATAGTTCATTCGACGCGTCTCGGTGAGGGGAACACGATTCTGGCAACAGAAATGTCGTGACTTTTTGTAGTCGAAAGTTATTGTCGAAAAACACTTTTCGTAAAAACAGCTATTTTTGGAGTTTTTGCCCTCTGGAGGCTAAACCGTTGACCTGAGGACAATATTGATAATGACCTTTTCAAAAGAAGAGTTCAAAAGCTATCGATTGCTTTTCCATGCGTTTTTCTAGTTACCATAGTTCCTGAGATAGCGGCATGTTTTCTGAAATATATAATGACAATTGGCAAATTTTGACCTTTGATGACCTCTGGTGACCCCAATATTGCTCTAAGGTGAAAAATGACCGAAATACTTTCAAACGTACGTATTGAGAGCTATCGACTGCTTTTTACCGCGTCTTTCTAGCCCTCTTAGTTTTTGAGTTAGAGGTGGGTGGTAACATATGCCCCCCTCACTAGGGCGAAGTTGGCCGAGACCGCCACTGGGGCGCGGGTTAAATTCATCCTCATTACCACTACGACCTATATAACTAGTTCCCAATCTCGAACAGTTACTTAGTGATGGAAGAGGAGAAAATAACGATCAGTCCCGGCGTTATGCCAATGTAAACCATTCGATTCACGTGTTTCGCGTATACCATTTAACATAACGTTCTCCTCATAAGCCATTATGCACTTTGCCGAATGAAGAAAAAAGACAGGTTATGCATGTCGACAACGATATTGGACTTTGGGGAGCAGCTACGCAACATTTTATAGACTTTTTATTGCTTATTTTATTCAAATAAAGCTGGTTTGGTGAGGACTGCAGAACATAAGCACCGGCGTATGCTATTTTGTGATTAGTCAAAGTCACTACAATATCGCATCCGATTCATATTACGATATGTATATTGTATTTTGATATGTAACCAGATTATGCAGGTGAAACGCTCTAATGTATTGCTTTTTGACGTGTAATGCATTCAACTCTGACGCAATTTCTGAAGAAGCGTAACATGATAAGCTGAATTTCAAACAAGGTAAAGAGGCTTATTATGAACAATGGAACGTCGTAAATGTCAATTAGGACCGAATATATTCATCTCATGAAGTCCAAAAGACGAACAGAGCTAATATCCCTATCGGGACGGGTGGACTCTATCAAAGTACTGTTGTTTCGGCATATAATCTCCGCCAGGGCACCTGTCATTGTATACAGAAAAAATGGCTAAGCGTAAGACACTTCTGCAACAGCATCTATATGTAAGTGTGACATTCCAAGCTCCTCTAAACAAAGGCCCTGGCTCAAGACTGCTTCACTCACCTGGCTTCCCGTCTGTGAGTCCGTCTAAAAAAAAAAAAACAAAAAAAAAACAGAGGGGCGTTTGCTTGCTCTGGTTTTTCAATATTTCCTTCCTCATTCTTCCGTGCTTGGCTCTAATTTTGTTCGTTCTCCGTTGTATCTGTTCCGCTCGTCATACACATATTGTTCTATGTGTCCATTTTCCAGAACGAATTTTTCACCAAAAAGCTGTCTATATTTCATGCAATAAAGTGAAGAATAAAAGCGAATGCTAACTATTGAGGCTTTTGCAGGATCTCCCCGTAAAATCGTCCTTCGTATCTTGACAGCATCACCACCTCTCATCAGTCCCTCCTGCAGAAGCTGCGCGCCTCTCCTGACCTGTCACCGTCCGCTGGTAAAACGCAGTCGGCGGACCGCCGGACTCGATCTGCCCTCGGGCGTCACACACGGAGTAGGACCGCCTCGTCCGAGACAAGCCCCCGGGCGACACGCACGCTGTCCGAAGGCGTCGCGTGGCTCGAGCTGCTCCTAATGACCCCGGCTTGTGCTCCGATAACAATCGACGGAGGCACGCGGCCTGCCAGCCGTCACTCGGCTGTCGCGCGGCGCCGGCCGGCGGCCGTCCGTTAAC